TTCCATAACAACTCTACCAGACTTTTATTTATCAAACAAAGATTGAAAAATTATGTCTGGAGGCTTACTAGAGCTTTAGATTGAATCTTGAAATTTAGTCTGACAAAAAGAAAATTAACTTATAAGGATAAAAAATACAAAACTTAAAAGTATAAAATAAGAAAAAACATACAATAGTTGTCTCTCTTTCTTCACATATTTTTCCTTTTCAATACTGACGAGTTTCAATAAACATGTTAGCCCAACTGCAGAACCAAAATCCAACAGCATTATAAAAGATCCATTAATAACAACAGATGCAAACAGACCCAAAAGAACAATCAAAAGGCCCAAGAAATTTGATGACTAAAGAGTTAAGACTACCACCTGCACAAGATGACAAAGAATAAAGAAGCTTCTAAAAGTTGTTATGCAAAAATATAATGATTAGGTGTACTAGATTTTATTATGAGCTGTACTAGATTCTAATTGCTATCGTAACAGAATTAGATCTCAAACTAAGATCTATATATATTGTATTCCTTTTACTTGAATAGGGATCAGAACAAATTATAAATCTCTTCTCTCTCTAAATTCTAAGGAGGATTCCCTTGTCCTACTAAATCAAGGATCATATTCCTAACAATTTGGTGCTTTCATCTTTGTTGCTCACCTCCCATGGCTGCCAGGCCCACACACGCAGAGAGATGGGATGATCTTTCATCCAAAATCGACGCAATAGCTGAACAAATCGTCGTCCTCACCACCGCTAACCCACCACCACCCACACCAACACCAACCAACACGAACCTCACCTACCCTATGCCTCGCATGAAACTTGACGTGCCAAAATTTAACGGAACTGATGCTCCAGGCTGGATCTTTAAAATTTCTCAGTTCTTCGATTATCATCAAACACCAGAAGAGAAAAGACTCACAGTAGCTTCATTTTATATGGATGGACCAGCTTTGAGTTGGTATCAATGGATGTTTCGAAACAACCAAATCACCACCTGGACCGACTTCCTTCAAGCACTCGAAACGCGTTTCGCACCTTCCTATTACGACGACCCTTCAAGCTCACTTTTTAAGCTCACACAAAAATCCTCCGTAAATCAATACCTCACCGAATTCGAAAAACTCGCCAATCGCATCGTTGACCTACCACAACAATTCCTTCTCAGTTGTTTCATCTCTGGACTCTCACCTGAGATTCGCAGGGAAGTCCAAGCCCTCCGCCCTTACACCTTAACCCAAGTCACAGCCCTTGCCAAATTACAAGAAGATAAGATAGAAGAACGACGCCGTTTTTTCAAACCCAAATCACTTACCTCGGCTTCATCTTCTTCAACACAACCCACAACAACAACACCAACCTCCAATCTTCCACCCCTCTTACCCACCCCCAAACCCAACCGACTCAATTATCGAAAATTATCTCCAGAAGAAATGGCTTCACGCCGGGAAAAGGGTCTCTGCTACAACTGCGATGAAACATTCACCCCTCAACACAAATGCAAAGGACGCTTCTTCCTCCTCATCACAGAGGAACCACCGGATTCCATTCCGGATCTTCTTAACAACCACCATCAATTTGAGCATTTAGATACCTCCACCACTGCAATTGATTACACTACTGAAGCTCAGATCAGCTTGCATGCCCTTTCTGGCTGTACCACCGCCTCCACAATCCGCCTCAATGGTCGCATCTCCAACCACCCAGTCACCGTACTAATCGACGGCGGTAGCACACACAACTTCATACAAGATCGCATCGCCAAATTCCTTGAGCTCCCTTCAGTCCCTACCACTACACTCAAAGTCATGGTCGGCAATGGCGACGCCCTTGATTGCAATCGTTTTTGCGCCGGTATTCCCATTTCTCTACAATCTGAACAATTCTCGGTTGATTTCTACACGCTTCCTCTCTGTGGCGCTGGTGTTGTTTTGGGTGCCCCTTGGTTACAAACTATTGGGCCTGTTCTCATGGACTACACAAACCTCAGCCTATCCTTCACCCACCAAAACAAAAACATCACCCTCACGGCTAACAAAAAGGCCCAAATTACTCAAGCCTCGGCCCAACAAGTTAAGAGATTAATCCAAACCCACTCCACCGCTGAACTATTTCACCTTCAATTGTTACCCACAAATCCTGAACCAAAATCAGACCCTACTCCTTCACACCCTATCCCTAAAATCCATTCCCTACTTCTCCGTTTCTCAAACCTCTTCAACACAACACCAAAATTTCCTCCCCAACGAAACATTGATCACCATATTAATCTCGTACCCAACTCTAACCCCATCAACACCCGCCCTTACCGTTACCCCTATTTCCAAAAGAATGAAATTGAAAACCAAATACAAACCATGCTTGATACAAAATTCATACAACCAAGTCAAAGCCCTTTCTCATCTCCTGTACTCCTTGTCAAAAAGAAAGATGGAGGTTGGCGCTTCTGCGTCGATTATAGAGCTCTTAATGCCATCACAGTACGTGACCGTTTCCCAATGCCAACTATTGAAGAATTGCTTGATGAATTAGGTAATGCATCCTGGTTTTCTAAACTCGACCTCCGACAAGGATTTCACCAAATTCGGATGATCCCAACTGACATTCCAAAAACAGCCTTCAGAACCCACCAAGGACACTATGAATTCCGCGTTATGCCATTTGGCCTTTGCAACGCACCTTCCACCTTCCAAGCCGCAATGAACACATTACTACAACCATTATTGTGTAAATTTGTCACTGTGTTTTTTGACGACATTCTCGTCTATAGCAAAACACTTGAAGAGCATATCCAACACCTTGAACGCGTTTTCATCACTCTATTGCAAGGTGAATACTTCCTGAAAGAATCCAAATGTGTATTGGCACAACGTAGCTTGAACTATCTAGGACACATTATCTCACTTGAAGGTGTTAAACCAGAACCATCCAAAATCCAAGCCATACTTGACTGGCCTCTCCCCAAAAACATCACTGCATTACGCGGATTCTTGGGACTCACCGGGTTCTATCGCAAATTTATCCAAGGGTATGCCTCCATCGCCTCACCCCTCACTTCTTTACTTCGAAAAGACGCCTTCCAATGGAACCCTGAAGCTAGTATCGCATTTAATGCCCTCAAACTTGCCACAACCTCTGCTCCCACTTTAGCCCTCCCCGACTTCACACAACCATTTTGCCTCGAAACTGATGCTTCAGGCCTTGCCATGGGGGCAGTCTTGATGCAAAAGTCACATCCCATTGCTTACTTCAGCAAACCTTTTTGTCCCAAACTTCAAAAGGCTTCCACCTATGTCCGAGAACTACATGCTATCACCACTGCCGTAAAAAAATGGCGTCAATACCTTCTGGGTCATCAATTCACAATTTACACAGATCACCAAAGCCTCAAAGAACTCCTCACACAAACCATCCAAACCCCTGAGCAACAAATGTATTTAGCAAAACTCATGGGATATGATTACACGATTCAGTACAAGACAGGGAAATCTAACACTGTGGCAGACGCCCTTTCTCGCATTCCAGACACAACCTCAGGTACGCATCTCTCTCTCTCTCTCTCTATGCCTAATTTTTTGTTTTTAGAGCAACTCAAACTAGCATTGGCTGCTAGCACCCAATTCACCTCTCTATACAATCAAATCTCACAAACACCCTCCCAATTTCCGAACCATAAAATACACCAAGGCCTTATTCTCTTCAATAACCGCATTTGGCTAGACCACTCCCTTCCCTTTTGTAACACACTCTTAGAGGAATTCCATTGTTCCCCTACAGCTGGTCACATGGGCTTTGCCAAAACATTGGCACGATTGAAAGCAAATTTTTGGTGGGAAGGCATGAGAAACCAGGTACAACAATTTGTCAAAAACTGTACCACGTGCCAACAAGTCAAATATGAAACAAAAAAACCCTCATGACTCTTACAACCCCTCCCTATCCCTCAAGCCATTTGGGAAGATCTATCCCTTGACTTCATCACCGGATTACCAATATCAAAGGGTCACACAGCAATACTAGTAGTCGTTGACCGCCTCTCTAAAGGTGTACATATGGCTGCACTGCTTCCTAATTTTACAGCCCATAAGGTGGCCCTTGTGTTCTTTGAAATTGTATGCAAATTACATGGCATGCCTCAGAGCCTAGTTTCTGATCGGGACCCCCTGTTTATTAGCAAATTTTGGCGCGAACTCTTCTCTCTTTGTGGCACCAAGTTGCGCATGAGTACCTCCTACCACCCTGAAACAGACGGTCAAACAGAGGTTTTTAACCGAGTGCTAGAACAATATTTGCGTTCCTTTGTTCACCATAAACCATCTCAATGGTCTAATTACCTTTCCTTGGCTGAATGGTCCCATAATACTTCTGTCCACTCTACCACAGGTCTCACACCATATCAGATTACTTATGGCAAAGAACCACCCTCCATACCTCAATACATACAAGGCCAATCCTCACTTGAAGCTGTAGATTCCTTACTAAGTTTCCGCCAACAACTAATCACAAAATTAAAAGCAACAATCCTCAAATCTCAAATTGCCATGAAACAGCATGCTGACAAACACCGCAGAGACATCACATTCGAAGAAGGATCATATGTTTATGTTCGTCTTCGTCCATATCGACAGAAAACTGCAACTCCAGCATCTTACTCCAAACTGTCCAACAGATTCTATGGTCCCTTCAAGATACTTCAACAAATTGGAAAGGTTGCTTACAAACTTGATCTACCAGCCCATTCCAAAATTCACCCTGTTTTCCACTGTTCACTCCTCAAATTACACCACGGCCCCATTCCTTCAATCACTACTATTCCACCACTTTCCATTGATCACCACCCTATCATTACACCCTTGACAATACTTGACACCAAACTTGATACATCTACTAATTCCCCCACAAAAATGGCCCTGGTTCAGTGGTCAGGTTTACCACCAGAAGAAACTAGTTGGGAATCTTGGGATACTCTCTGTTCTGACTATCACCTTGAGGACAAGGTGTCTTTTCATGCACCAGGGGTTGTTAGCCCAACTGCAGAACCAAAACCCAACAGCATTATAAAAGATCCATTAATAACAACAGATGCAAACAGACCCAAAAGAACAATCAAAAGGCCCAAGAAATTTGATGACTAAAGAGTTAAGACTACCACCTGCACAAGATGACAAAGAATAAAGAAGCTTCTAAAAGTTGTTATGCAAAAATATAATGATTAGCTGTACTAGATTTTATTATGAGCTGTACTAGATTCTAATTGCTATCGTAACAGAATTAGATCTCAAACTAAGATCTATATATATTGTATTCCTTTTACTTGAATAGGGATCAGAACAAATTATAAATCTCTTCTCTCTCTAAATACTGACGAGTTTCAATAAACATCTCTGCTTTGGTGACTTCTTCTCTGTTTTCCTTTGCACACTTTATTAGTAAGAGATTGTAAATAAAGTAATATATAACAATACCACAAAAATTAATATTAATATTTTACCAATTTTTCACGAATTATCTCAAAAATTTTCGGCCCCACTCGGTGCATAAACTTTTGTTTAGCCCTATTGACAATATTTTTCTTGCTTATGCTCTGCAATTTAAGGATAAAATTAGGATTATATAAAAGAAAATCAATCTGCCAATCGATTCATATGTTAAAATAGTAACTTAAATGTATACACGCACTTACTTGGATGATACTATTGTCCCAAAATTTCAACAATCTCTTAAAATGAAGTTTTGGTATACTTGCAGGCTTGTGCTTTAACCTATCCTTTGAATCGAGTAACTTTCTTGGAATCTTGATTTTGAGAATGACTTTCAAATCGAGTAGCTTCTTTTTTGTTTGACCAAGATCACAATTTGAAGTTAAATCTTGTTGACCAAGTGTTGCAAAATTTGATAGCTTAATTTGTGCTTGAGGTGCAATATTAAACAAAGGCTTTTTAACTCCTTGAATGTGCATGTTTTATCTTTTAGCATTTGAACTAACTACATTGATAGTTGGTGGCTTGTTTTTCTTGCTCACATCTTCAATAATTCCAGCCACATAAGCATTATATCTTTCAATCCTTTCCTGTATTTTCTCATTTTTTATTCGAATTTTTCTATGTAGTTCATTGCTTGATCTTACTATAGGTAGCTCAAACTTGGAAGTAACTTTTTCACGCATGTCTTGTTCTATCATCTTTTGCTTTAACCTTTCTTCTTTATTCTTTTTCTAAAAAAATAATTCAAAACAAGTTAGAAAATTGTATTATAAAAAATATTGCAATTAAAAGGCAAAATGCAAAAAATAGTGTTTTACATTTCAGTATTTGTAGAATTGTTTAAGTACTTATAAAAATGTCATAACTAGTGTCAAGTTGAGATTTCAACGAATTAATGAGGGTTTTGAAATGGAAGATAATATGTGAAGGGGTTGAGAAAGACGAGTCAGATTAATAGCATCCATTAGTTAAATTAAATAAATAAATAAATAAACCCTTTCTTTATTTCACCAACTCCTCCTAAACTATTAATTCTATTCGTTATTTAATAATTCCTACTTTTTCTATTTTTTCAGTTGAAGAATTGAAGCCGTGAGGAAAAGTGGGATATAGAAAAAACAGAATAAGATAGTGAGAACAATAACAACACCAATAAGAGTACTAGGAAAAGCCAAAGACATGTACGTAAAAAGAATAACAAAGTGCAGTAACAACATGAATAACAACAATCCAGCAGATTCATACCTCATGATATATCATTATAGAAACCATTGAATTCAAGAAAATGTACCTTTTCTAAAAGTTGAATCATAATTTACTGTTCTATGAGAGCTATGTTAATTCTTTATTTTTATGATAGATATTAATTTTGGTAAAACTATTTTGGCAGTAAAATTTTAAATAAATGTTCTAACTTGCATAGAAAACATGTTGGACAAGATGTCCTATCCATATCATCTGACATTGTGTCTGTTACAGCTGTGCACTTGGATATATTTAGTTATAACATATTTTGAATATTTTAGGAATATTATGTTATCTTATGTGGCGTCCAAGATTGAGGAATCAGAGATTCTATTTGAATTTATAAGATTAATTTGTTTTACTTAATGTTGAGACATTTTAGGAAATATTATATTGAAGTCCTATTTTTATGCAGAAGATTCTCCAGATATTCAGTTGCAGCCCTGCTGCATTTTTGAAGCTCAAATCGAACCAAATATTGTTTATAAAAAGAAGGCTACAAACCTAATTAAAGGTGCGGAACATATTGTATATTCTAGTAAAATTTTAGGGTTTGTGTTCTTGTTAATTGCGAGCCTCTCTAATATCATTCTGATATAAGAGCAGGGCAGTCTCTATTGAGTTGTAAGTTATGTTAATCATTCTTAAATTTTTAAGCATTGAGTGGTTGTGTGTCTTTGAAGTGTAACTTATGAAATATTATACGTTTTAGAGTTTTCATCACTGTTGTGATTGAAAGGGATTTGTGAAGTGTCTCATACCTAGGTGAGTTTTAGGTAGAAGTTAAGCACGGGTAGTGATTAGGTGAGTAGATTGTTAATTGGAGATAGTTTGTTGAAGATCTACAAACTGATACTATTTAGTTGATTTCATCTTTGGATTGGTAGGACCAAGACGTAGGTGTTGTTGCATATCGAACTGGGTTAATAATCATGTGTATTACTTTATTTTAAAGCAATCTTATTGCCATTGTGTTTTAATCAGATAATAGTGTCTCGACATCTCATAGAACATATGATATCTACATTCTAAAATTTCAATTGGTATCAGAGCAGGCATCCTACTCTGTATCTGGGTGAGATTCAAGGAAGATACTTTCGGGTACAATGGACAAGGAAGGAGGATTTGTAAACAAAACACTCATTCTTGATGGATCCAACTATGACTATTGGAAATCTCGCATGGTGGCCTTTTTTTAATCTATGGACAACAAGACCTAGAAATCTGTAGTCAAGGGATGTGATCCTCCAATGGTCAGAGATAAGGATAGGAATGTTAGAACAATGTTTGAATCTAGTACCCTATATTTGAGTTTTGATGATAACAAAGTGAAAAGATATAGTAGTTAAATATTTCATGATTGAATTATATGCTGCCTAAAATTACTATGCTCTGACTTGCAGATATGCTGATTAAAACAAGCAAGATCACGTTTTCAGCATCAGAATATGAGTTTGCACATCAGTATCAGAAGTTGCTGAATCAGAACGTCAAGATCAGATGATCAACGCTTGCACATGCTGAAGCTTGATGAACAGAACTGCGCGTAAAACACTCTGATACAGAAACAAATTAGTTCATCAGCAGCGAAGCAGAATCAGAATGAGCCAAGCCAGATCGTGCATTGAAGAAGCAACGGTACTGTGCATTGAAAGCTAATCAATACCAACGGCATCATTCTAGACAAGATCTGCTCAAAAAGGAAAGCTTGTTAATAGCATTGAATCAAGAATATTTGCTTCAACGTTCATCTTCTCAAGTGCTATATAAACCAAGCTTTGAAGATTATCACGGCCAATGCTTCCAAACTCTCTACACGCACAAAGCTGAACAATAATCTTCACTCTACAAGTTTTGCTAAACCACCAAACTCTGATACTTTATTAGCGTTTAGCATCCTAGTATTCTAAGCTTCATTTGTGTAAACATCACAGTTGTGATATAGTTTTTGTAGAAACATTCACACACATTTGATTATATCTTTGTAAGAAAGTGTTGCCTTGACAAACCGGATTGTGGTTTGAATCAAGAAGGTTTTAGCAGTTGCTAAAGCAGATTTGTATTCAGTTGAATATAGTGAATTAAGACCTCGTTGGAGAGAGGCGAAATCACCTTGAACGGGTGGACTGGAGTAGTTTGAGATCAAACGAACCAGGATAAAAATACCTTGTCATTTGCTTTAAGTTTCCAGTTTTACAATTCAACCCCCCCTTCTTGTGTTTTTCACCCCTTCAATTGGCATCAGAGCGCCTGGTTCTGAGCTAAAACACTTAACCGTGTCAGTAAAAGATCCAGCGTCAGAAAAACACTATGGCAGGAAACAACTCTCATTTCAGCAATGACAACAATGAGGATAGAGACAGATTCAGCGGCAAACCTCCAGTCTTTGATGGAGAAAACTTTGACTACTGGAAAGACAGAATTGAAAGCTTCTTTCTAGCACATGATGCTGATCTGTGGGATATGGTGACAGATGGATACACGCACCCTGTGAATGCAACTGGTCAGAAGATTGATAGAAAATCAATGACTGATCAACAAAAGCGTGATTTCAAGAATCACCATAAGGCCAGAACCATCCTTCTCAGTGCCATCTCCTATACTGAGTATGAGAAGATCTCCAACAGAGACACAGCTAAGAACATCTTTGATTCTCTCAGAATGACGCATGAGGGCAATGTTCAAGTCAAGGAAACAAAAGCTCTGGCGCTCATTCAGAAGTATGAGGCGTTTAAAATGGAAGAATCTGAATCCATTGAAACTATGTTCTCTAGATTCCAGATTCTGGTAGCTGGTCTCAAAGTTCTGGACAAGGGATACTCTACTGCTGACCATGTCAAGAAGATAATCAGAAGTTTACCCAAGCAGTGGAGGCCTATGGTTACTGCTCTGAAGCTGGCGAAAGATCTCAACAAAATCACTCTGGAGGAACTTATAAGCTCCCTCAGAAGTCATGAGATAGAGCTGGAAGCTGACGAGCCTCAGAAGCAAGGTAAGCCTATAGCTTTAAAATCTAACAGAAAATCTGAATCTAAAGTTTTGCAGGCAGTTGAAGAAACATCTGATGGATCCTCATCAGAAGAAGACGAGCTTTCTCTTCTCTCCAGAAGAGTAAATCAACTGTGGAAGCAAAGACAAAAGAAGTTCAGGAATCCCAGAAGATCTGATCAGAACGAGTCTTCTTCCAGATACAGAAGAACAGATTCTTCCTCTGGATACAGAAGATCTGAAGGCTCCTCAGGTAGCAAGAAGCCAAATACAAAAGACATCATCTGCTACGAGTGCAATGAGCAAGGTCACTACAAGAGTGACTGTCCAAAGCTTCAGAGGGAAAAGCCAAAAAGGAAGTTTGGAAGAGAGAAGAAGAAAAGTCTCATGGCCACATGGGATGACTCTGACTCGTCTGAAGCTGACTCAGAATCAGATGATGAAAGGGCGAACATAGCGCTTATGGCTAACATTCCAGATGACAGTGAAGCTTCTGACTCAGACTCAGAATCAGACACAGAAGAGGTATTCCCTAACTTCGCTGTTAATTTTACAAAGGCTGAACTTGCTGAAAGCCTCAATGAAATTCTGGAACGTTATCAGCAGATTAGAGCTAAATTCAGAGACCTGAAAAGGACTCTTGAATCTGACTCTAATAAGTCTGAGAGTCTCAAATTGGAAAACTCTGAGCTGAGAGATAAAATTTTAAAATTAGAAAACTCTTTACAAAACTCTCAGAAGGTACCAATTTCTGAAACTCCCAGCAACGCTGATGAGATCATCAAGGAGTATGATCATAGTTTCCAGAAGTTCCTTGCTAAAAGCATAGATAGAAGCAGAATGGCTTCAATGATCTATGGAGTTAGCGGAAACGGTAGGAAAGGAATAGGATACCTAGGTAAGGTTCCTACACCTAAAAATGTCATGGATTTAGTTATTAAACACACTCCTCTAAATTCACACTTTGTGTATGGTCACACACATGACATCAAATATACTAGTAGTAATCACTTTGTGAAACCAAAATTCAACCAGAGTTTTGGTAAAACTAACAAATCAGGACCCAAGAAGATCTGGGTACCTAAGGATAAAATAATACATGTTGCAGATATCTTTAGCAGCAAGTCAGAAACACCAGTCATGGTACCTGGACTCTGGCTGCTCACGTCACATGACGGGAAGAAGGCATATGTTCCAAAGCCTGGAACTTAAGCCTGGAGGCCACGTTGGCTTTGGAGGCAAT